TGTTTTTGATGGGGGTAATTGAGAATGAATGGGGAAAAGCCACGTGAGAAGAGGCAATGCCTTGATATGATAGGCCTATTACACTGTTCATGTGATAAATCCCGCCTCTTGTTTTTGTGCATGTTCTGTATCTGCAAATCGGTCTTCATGAATAAATAATGGTGCTACTGTAAAGACTAATTAAAAACAGAGTAAACAACTCACTCACTTAGATATCACCACTTTATATCATGTCAAAATCGAACTTGAAATGACTTGAAAATCGGTGAGTTTTTTATTTTTGGTTTTTCATTAGTTATTATTTTTGAATAAATGTAAAAATCTGTAGAAAACACCAAATTGAGGAAATTTATACTTGGTTTTAATAAATACATTAATTAATTACACGGTTAGTGTTATTAAATAGAATATACACTATATGGACAAAAGTATTGGGACAACTGGCCATTACACCAACAGGGACTTTTAATGACATTGCATTCTAACTACATAAACATTAATATAGCGTTGGCCCCCTCTGTTTGCAGCTATAACAGCATACACTGTTCTGGGAAGGCTTTCCACAAGATTTTTCAGTTCTGTAGTTCTGTGGGAAGTTTTGCTCAACTATCCAGTAGTGCATTTGCGAGGTCAGGCATTGATGTTGAACGAGAAGGCCTGGCTTGCAATCTCCGTTCCAGTTCATCCCAAAGGTGTTCTATGGGGCTTTCTTCCACACCAAACTCATCCAACCATATTTTTATAGACCTTGCTTTCTGCACTGGGGCACAGTCATGCTGGAATAGAAAAGTGCCTTCACCAAACTGTTCCCACAGTGGTGGAAGCATAGCATTGTCCAAAATGTCATAGTATGCTGAAGCATTAAGATTTCCCTTCACTGAAATAAATAAAGTGCATTTGCTTACACTGTAAAATCTAATTAGTTGGGCTTACTTAAAAAAAAGCATGCAAACCGATTGCCTTGAAAAAACTAAGTAAAGTGAAATAGCAATAGTATGTTGTACTGACAGATGCTTAGTTAGTATAGTTTACTTACACGAGAGTTCTAGTAACTAAAAAAGAACTGTAGGGGGTACTTGACACTTTCATTTAGGTTTACTCATGACTTAGTATAGCGACTCACTGACTCCCAGAGTGCATTGCGGTATGAATAAATTATACAGTTGCTTTGTTTTACAGTTGTTGATTTTATTTGACAATTTTATTTGCTGTCTTGTGTCAGTAGCAGCACAACAAAAAGAGCAAATAAAATGGCTATTGTTACAAGTAATGAAAATAAATTAAATTGAATTGTTACCATTGTTGGGGTTCACGTGCTGAATGTTTAAGTCTGTGTGTGACTTCAGCATGTTACCACACATGATTTAAGAATTATATAACCCCAAAAAAAAAGCATCTCAGGGTCTTTATAAAAAAGTTTTTGATAAAGTTGATTAATGAACACACTCAATTAATGCACTAATGCTTTAATTAGAAGAGAGGTCACTTTCTAAAAGTAACCTATTTATTACAAACTAAATCTAAGTAAGGTAAACTATTGGATTTTACAGTGTAGAAGCAAAATTGCATCAGATAATAAGAGTTTCAGACAGAATTGTCTTTATATTTGTTACTTTTTTTAGATACAAAAAGTACATTTTCATTTTATGCTGACTTTTCCAACCACCAGTTAAGTTTTACAGCACTGTGCCTTTGCTGCGTAAAAGTTCGGACAATTTTTTTAATATGTTAATTTATATGTTTTCAAGCAGCCATTCAGAATTTTTTTTTTATTCACTTTGCTGTTTATCAAATAACGTCAATTATGTGAATTAGCCATATCTTCAGTGGTGCACATAAGTGATGCGCATGCATGACCAAAATAAAAAATGCGCTTTGTAAATAAGTTCAGACCGCTCATTTGCGCGCCGACATGATTGACAGCTGTTAATGTACAATCACCATTTTAAGATTGACTAACTGTAATACTGTATAAGATTTCCATTCAAACTGAAAGTATAAATCTAGGCTATACACTGCCGGTTTTAGAGCAAAATGCAAAAATGTGACATTTCATTCACTGACGCGCTTCACTTAGGTGCTTCACTCAGCAGCGCATATACTTACGCCCAAATAAAAGCTTGATGATTTTAGGTTGGAAAATGCTGAAAATTTATATCATTTTTTTTAAATTGAAATACTAGCATTGTATTTTTAAGTGTACTATAATATAATTGTATTTTTATTGAATACATTTATTTTAAAATACAATAGTATTACCACACTCTATTTGTTATTTTGCTTATTATTTTATTTAAACATACAAAATAAATAAAGTTCAATAATACTATTATCACTATTATTTTTTTTTATATAGCTATATTTAATGAGTCACACTGGTGCAGTGTGAGCACCAAACCAAATCTCCATGAAGAACCAGTCTGAAAAACGTATGTGCACCCCTGCATATCTTTATTATAACATTTGTTTACACTTATACATTTTTTTTGCATTTTAATCAGGGATAAAACATGCCAGCCTATAAAATAGATTATTCTGTATTATTATTGATGATGATAATAATAATAAATAAATTATTCTCTTTAATTTTCACAATCCAGGTGTTTTACATGCATTTTTCTAAAAGCAATGGTTAAACTTTTAAATAGTTGAAAAATTGTTAACAGTGCTCAAAAAGTAAACATATCCTCAATACATAAATATATCATATTTATATACTGAAAGATAAATACTGAGTAGACACTGATTTTTACAACATTATATTTAGATATTATAGTTAACTAAAATAAAAAAATAAAAAAAATATATATATATATCAAAAAATTGTGTGACTTGAAATAAAATAAAAACTGTTTTATTTTAGCTAGTTGACAAGGCTACATTTCCCATTATCATTTAGTTTATCTTGAGGTTCTAAAATAACTAAAACTAAAACTGAAAAAAAATGTAATAACCATATAGACATTTAAAAAAAAAAAACTAATAAAAACAACAAAAACAATAAAATTACTAATATTCAATTAAAATGAATATGACAGCAGAAAATACAGTATATATAACAAAAAAAAATTCCAAAATATTAAAAACTATAATAGTACCTCAATGATACAAAACATAACATTGCTTTACAATAAGGTGTCAGTGTAAGTTGAGTATGATGGGGGATTGGGGGTGGTTATGGGGGGGAGAGGCACTCTTTTGAATATCTGCTTAGGCAAAATGCTAGGACCGGCCCTGACTGTGCTATACAATACTTTCTAATGCTGTTTGACATCAGAACAATACATCTGCTTTACTCCCTTAATTATTCATTGAGAAACATGTGAGTGATCAGTGCAAGTCTGCTGAAAGGAGCTGCTGGTGCAGTAACTTCTCAAATCCCCTGAGAGCCACTGACCACACGGCCTGCAGGAGCGATGATTAGCATGATTATGATGATTAATTACATTGTTTAAACTCTGTCATTGTCTACTGATTTTAGCACCTCTATCTCACTCTCAGGATTAAACACCCTCACTTTAACTTGAGACAAACTATGTGTGTGTGTGTGTGTCTGTCCCCTACAACACTAGAACTCGTTTCCTTGAGCTGTGCCACTGTTGTGGTCATGCTCCTCTGTTTTTCTGCAGTGTGCAATGCTCCATTTGTCTTTGGTGCAGCTTATTTTGAGCAGCCCCCTTAATGTAATCTTAAACGTCTTTCTCAATCTGACTGGAACCCGATCTTTTTTTTTTGTCCTCTCACTGTTTCAATGATAGATAGCATTCTTCTGCGGTGCTGCATAACGTTTACAAAATACAAATTCACCCCAGAGATTAACAGTTCACAACTCCATGTGCACTAACAATATTCAATAACTCAATCAATCAATATATATTTTGTATTTTTTTTTTTTTTTTAGTATTGCCGTGAAGTATCCTATGCTCACCAAGGCTGCATTTATTGATCAAAAATCCAATTATTCAATTATTAATAATGGTTCTTATCATTATCGATGCTGAAAATAGTTGTTACTGCTCAATATTTTTGTGGAAACCAAGATACTTTTTTTCAGGATTATTTGGTAAATAAAAATGTCAAAAGAAATGCACTTATTTGAAATATACCTGAAATATATCTTTCGTAACATTATAAATGTCTTTGTCACTTTTGATCAGTTGCATCCTTGTTGAATGTATATTCAGGCCAGTACTAAATGGAAAAAATATATTGCAATATTGTGTAAAATATTGTGTGTGTGTGTGTTTGTTTTTTACAGTCCTGCATATTTTGTTAAAATTAAGAATTTTGAACATCTACCTAGATTATAAAATTTTGCAACAGTTGCTATTCATGATACCTAATTCATTAACTAATATTAATGTACTAAAAAAAGAAAAAAGCTTTGATGAATGACTTTCTGGACCCAGTTTCAGTACTGTAGATCGATAGGGAACCTTTTTTTCTTCTTCTTGCTGTTACCAAACAAATGGTATAAATATCAACGAAATTAATCTTTACAATGCAGAGGAAACAAGTTGCATCTGAAGTGACATTTAGTTGTCACACTGTTTAATGCAGCTCAGAGATTAAAATGGTATGTATAAAAGTAACAAAAAATATTAAAAACATTAATAAAAAACTATAATATGTCTCCATACTAAAATAATAATTAACCTGCCAGCAAAGATAGTTTACTGGTTTTCATTCACGGTTCAGCTTCATCTCATGCAGCTCTAGATTAACACTGGTTAAAACTAACACATTTTCTCAGACAACACTAGTTGATCTGAAAGAGACAGTTGAGCATAATGCTGAGAATGTATATTTACATTGTGTTATAAATTCTGACATACTTTTGTTGACTTGTTTGCATTTGTGCATGTTTTATGTTTCAGCTAGAATCTACATTGAGAAATACTGTTTAGCTCCATGAAGCCTGAGCCAGAAGGACACCAATGTCCAATCTAATATAAATGTTTCCTTTTCTCTCCCTCCTTTCTCTATTCCTGTCTGTATAGGAACCTTGGGAAATCTGGATTGAGAGTATCATGCCTCGGTCTGGGTGAGTATTACATTATATCAGAAAATGCCTGTCCATATGCTGTATGTTTTTGGTGCAGTAAATCAGCAGATAGCAGCAGAGATAGTTTTTGCAGAGTTCAGTTCTGTTTAACAGCTCATTAATCATGACACTATGCTGACTCTCTCTAGCATTTTCCCTCTTTCACAAACACACACACACACACACGCAATCTGGCTCTTGATATCTAGGAAAGGAGGGCTGGGACTTGAACAGTGGGATATATGAACGCAATTACAAAAGCTGAACTTCAGTAACTGGAGTTGGCCAGTCAGCTTCGGTACCGCCGAGATGAGAAACGGCAGACTCAGCTTTCAGAGTGAGACAGGCCAACGCTACAGGCACTCCATATGCTTGTGTGTGTCTTTTAAAATATGAGCACTACAGTGTAAGCATGTTACTAAATATAAAAATATACAGAAAGATAAATAGCTCGGAAAGCGATGCTCATATAGGAGACACAGGTTTGAATCTGGCCTCTGTCTGGTCATGATCCCATTCTTCTCTCTCTCTCTCTCTCTCTCTCTCTCTCTCTCTCTCTCTCTCCTACCTGTCTGGAAATAAAAAAGTGACAGAGCCCAAAATAAAACTATACTGTATGCTCCTATACAATAGTGGTTCACAACTGGTGGGTGACAGGCTTTTTTGATAGTGTCACAGACAACAGGAAAAACATTGCTGCTTAGTAGACTTGTAGGAATGCACATTTTAATAAAAATATAAAGTGGCAGACTGTTTTTTCTTTTTTTACAAATCAGTTGGGTAATTGAATCAGTGACACACGTATTAATGTAAGCTGTCCTGCAGAAAGAGTCCCTGAATGAATCGGTGAACAAATCTGATAAAAAAAAAAACAGATTCAAATGATTCATTTAGAAGAAACAATTGTTTATTCATGACGACTCATGAATCAGTTGAGTAAATAAATAAGTGGCATGCTCATGATGTAACTTGTCCTGCAGAAAGGGCCACTGAAAGATTCATGAATGGATGAACAGATGCAAAAGTTTCACTGAGAAGAAACAATTCCAAATATTCAGTCTGTCATTTGGTGGAAACTAGCCAAATTAGGCAGATTCCAACAGAGACAGGTTGCTGAACATATTTTTATTTTCAAAAAACATTGACTACCTAGGCGGAAATCCAGAGGGTGTCGGGGGGACCAGGACCCACCCATCTGACGGTTGTCCCCCCTAAAAATATGATTAAAAACCATGCTGTGTATTGTAAATAACAATGTTTTATACTTTAAATAACTTTGTAAGTGGTAAAACAATGCAAACGGGGCAAAAATGCGTTTTAAGTTTATAAACATTTTGAGTCTCCCCCTCCCTTGCCTCACAGTGCTTTGATCCAAATGCCTGCTTTCCTCTTTTACATCACCTCACTTGCCGAGTCCATGGTTTTCCCAAGGAACTGGGCTACTTTAACACTGTTGCCGCGGGTTGAAGCAATCCCAATAACGTGATGTGAATGCAAATTTTAGCACAAAGTCAACAGTTGTGGAACTCGACAGTCAAGGCTATTTTATTCACTTAAACATCGGATGAAGTGATTCATTTCTCTTTAATACAGATGATGCCAATGTATTACTATTGTTCGATGTTAGCAATAATAATGTTACCTGCTTGATGGATAGTAATGTCTACAACGGACACGAGCGCTGTCTCGGCGCGACCACAACAGCTTGAAGTTGTCTAATTTGGCACGGTCTCCCTGTTGCACTAATAGTAGTAAAGCTGTGTATGCTTGTCCTTACAAGTACAATTTTAGTTGTATTATTTGTGTCCCCTTCAAAAATTGCTCTTGAGAAATGTTATGTTTATTGTCCCCCCTCCAACTATTAGAGGAAATTTACGCCCCTGAAACAATGCAAAGTCAAAGAAAATATGACCAATACCATATTAAATATGGGTTAAGTTTCAACAATGATAAACATTGTTTCTGAAATTATCAGAATAATAAATCTGTCCATTTTTTCTTTTTGTTTTGTTTTGTAACATTAAAAGAACACTTTTTTCATATGATAAACAATTTCAGTACTGTTTTGGGGCTCCATGTGATGTCTGATGTTAATCATCTGGGTCCTGAAGTGAAACCATTTGAGAAGCATTGGTTTAAATCATCCTATCCTCTTTGTTTCTAAGAAATCCACTACAGAACACGAATGAATATGAAGTCAAAAGCTCTTCACTTTATAATTGCATTCCTATTACTGAAGCTATTTTGTGTAAAGTGAATTCAAGTGAATTGTATCTGAGATGACTAACAGAAAATTGCTCAATTTAACCTGAATTCGGTTGTGAACAGCAAAAACATGCAGATTGTATTTGAATGAGAACAGCACTGGGGTTTTGTACTAGAATGTCCAAATATCATTTTTCAACAATATAAAGTGCATGATAGTTATATCAAATTAATGGCTCATGTGCTGTTTCACATCTGTATTTATCACAGAGCACACCAGACAGGTTGAGGTGATAGTGCCGTCACGTCTGCCTCCACAACAAGTGAAGAATCTTTTATGTAACTCTAACTCTAAACACTAGAGAAAGAGAGAAGGATATCTGACTCTTGCAGAGAAGGAACATAATGAGTTAAATATAGAAAGAGGCAGGTTAAGTGTGCAGCAGAAAGACTGTGTGGGTTTGTTTGGAGAACACAGGAGGAGACTCACCTCAGTCTTATTCAACGAAAGACTATAGACTTATATAAATCTGTCTATGTGTTTTTTCCTTTTTTTACACAAACATCAGTATTTTAAAGTACAAGCTACTCTTATGAAAATGTATTTAGCTACACTAACAAAAAGTTGCTGACAAAAATATACAATTAGTGGGTGATATCTTTTCATTAAAAATGATTTTTTTGATTAATTTACAATAAATTAACTCAGAAACTTAGATAACAGTAGTTTATATAACGGAGTAAAAATATATGACAGTAAAATTTGACAGTAACATTTAACTAAATATTTTGAAGATGCAGGGACTTTTGTAAAGGCATTTAAAAAATTTATTGGTGAATCATTAATTTGATCCGCAAATCTGTATGAACCGCTTCACGTATCATGGTAGTTTGAGAGTATTTAACTTCTTTAAATTATCTATCTTCACAGAGCTTCTTTAAAGGTAACTTCAATTTCAAGCAAGTAGATGTGGAACTACATATGAACTGTCACAAGCCAAAAAAGTTGTGTTACAGGAAAAGATCCTTTGGATAAGGATGATAGTTGGAGTTGGCAGAGGTATTAGTCTAGAAGAATTTTTGTATGAGCAAAATTGAGAGCAGCCGCCCAGGATGCTGTCTCATGCAAAGGTCAGCATGCTGCCAACTGGCTATCTCCCATAATGCCACAAGTGCAAAACGGGTGGTGCTACACCAATGTTTAGGCAGGGAGCTTGCTCAGAGATGGCTGCCCGCAGCGGATCCTGCCAAACTGCATTAGGCAAAGCAGGAGAACACCTCAACACACGACAGCTTCTCACAATTCTCCACGACTCTGCAGAGCAGATCAGACAAGCCAGTAGAGCATGTTATTAAAAACATACACGCAAAAAGAGGTTCTTAGGTAATTTCTCTTAATCCAGAGAAAATGTGATTTACTGGCATTGAACTGAAAGTTCTGTAATCTCTTTCAAACCCTGGAAAAGTTTTCTCGGTGGACTAAATGGGTGCATTTCCCATAGGCATAGTAAGCTAACTATGCACATTCAATTGTTAGTTCAATGATTCTGTGTGTCTTGAAACCATAGTTCCTATGAACATTTGCAAACAGCATTGCAAATTTATGTAGTTGGCACTACAGATCTTGACCTGTGGTTAGAAGAATAGTTTCTCATTTCTTCAACATTTCTTTTGGTCTTTTGGTCACAGTGAACAAGCTAAACTGCAGTACATTCTGTATCCTTCATTCCATTTAAAAAGATATACACATTTCATTCTGTATAATTTAGTATCAACAATCAGCACCATTTTTGAAGAGTGTGCCTGTGCATTCATGATATAATAGGGGAACTGCAATGAATCAAATATCAAATAAAACAAAAAAAGACTGGTAAAATAGTGCGAAAATGTTCGTTACAGCAGAATCTTGTTGTGAAGAAAGCCGCTTGTATACTATGTATACTATAATATGATTGTATACTAGAGTGAAGTGTACACTAATTGCATGTTTTTTTTGTTTTTTTTTAAATGAACAGTTTTCTGTTGTTCATGAAAATGAACTATAATAATTGGCATTGTCAAAGGTGCTATAACCAATGCAGTTCAAATGACAGCTGTGCGACCATTTTACTGTTTCGGCAAACAGTCGTGACTAGCTAGTCAATATCTCCAATGACGCATGGTACTACAGTGATTAAAGAGATAGTTCACCCAAAAATGATAATTCTGCTATCATTTACTCACCCTCAAATTTTTCCAAACCTGTAAGAGTTTCTTTCTTCTTTTGAGCATAAAAGAAGATATTTTGAAAAATTTTGTTAACCAAAGAGTTGACAGTAGCTAGCTTTATTTCCCCATAGTATGGAATGGGATATTCCATCATTTATTCTTCATTTTTTTATGTTCAGCAGAAGAAAGAAATTCGTACAGTTTTGGAACAACTTGAGGAGTTAATGATATCATAATTTTCATTTTTGGCTGAGCTATCCCTTTAAGAACCAAGTTACATCATTCTACGGGGAAATACACCCCAGGTCAGCTGGGTGAGCACATCATTGATCATGTTTAGATATGCGAGATGTAGTAGTAGGCCTTTTTGAGCACAAAACAGACTTAGGGATATTAGCAATTCTCTAAAGTAGTGCAATCAAAGCTAATGTGATGGGCAGAAATGAGAACAAAGAAGTTAGCCAATTCTCCATATTTCTCTCAGCGTTTCTCTTTCACTTTTCCCAGCTTATTTTTTCTTTGTTGCCATCAGCTCATTGATTATATCTGCATTGTAAGTGGTTTGTAAAGTAAATTCAAGTTCTTTC